TCGGACTGAAACTGTGTACCGAAAATGGCGTTCAATTTTGGAAATGGATGAAGGTCTGATGGAGCGAGATCAGGTGAATAAGACGGGTGCTCAATCAATTCAATGCGAAAATCGTTAATGGAATCCATGGCAGTTGTTTGCTGAGTTTTACGTGGCGCATAAGTTTAAAATATTCTCTAAACTGTCTTAAAAGTGATGCATATTATGTGCCATTGGCTGTTTGTCCCTTTTGCAGATAATGGAACACTTTCTGCCTTTTGGCGGGGGTGAATCAGGGTACTTCCATTGTTTAGACTGTTGTTTGACTGAAATGATGAACTGACATTTCAGCCATAGTCACAAACCTCTGCAGAAAGTTAGCAGGATCTGCCTCTAAATGGTTCAGATAAGCACGCGACAAAGTCCGCCTGGTGTGCGTCTGATCAACTATCAGAAGTCTCGGTACCCAACGGACTGAGAGCTTTCTCATTACAAGATCTTGGAATGCACGCTTTCCTATGAAATCCCAACTGCACTGGCTATATATATCTCTCTGTAACTCGCCTGTCAGCCATAAAAATATCATGGAATTTATTTACCATTTCTGAAGTCGCAACAGTGACAGACCTTTCAGGACGGGCGCCATCCCCATGGCTCTGTCCGCCGCGCATAAATTCCGCAACCAACGTTTTTTACTGCAGCAAGTGAAGGAGCATTATTCCCTAGTGTTGCTACCATATCAGTATGGATATCCATAAGTGCTATACCTTTCTTATGTATGTGTTGCATCACTGGCCTTTCAGCGATTCTGTCTGTTTAGCAAAAGTCACTTGCCTTGTTTCCTTTAGAGTGTTTAGACATAAACTGATCAAATGACACCAGTCTTCGGGTACACAGCCTTAAATAGTCATGTAATAGTAGACTGAAAAGGAACATTTCTGCTTAACTTCTATATAAGTCTCACAACTTATTAATAAACCCTCCTGTGTCATATGTTGGCCCTCAGTGACCTCATGACTAGTCATGAACGAAACAGATGTGTTATACAGTTTAATTCGATATGATATTTGGCTCTTCTCTAAAAGAATTTATATCGAAAGATGTTGTTCACTAGCCGTTTCCATTCTTTTAATAGAAACAATCCTAATCTCCACCCTACGGTGTTCTCAAGTCACAGTTGATTTATTTTTCCGGGGGTTTGAGAGATGTAAGTACATGAAGACTTTGGAGATGTATCATGGTCGCCATTATGATCTAATTGAGTAATGCTATGAATTGTTTTGTGCGATATGAAGTAACACGTTTTCAATGCTCGTCAGTTACTAAAAAATGGCATTGTTTAGTCCTTTAAAATATAATAGACGATATTTGACATATCTGAATCGAGTGCCAGGTGTTAATACTATTAAAGCTACATTTCTATTTCATGGTCGACGAGAGAGCTATTATTCTATTTTGCCTCTTTCCATAGGTGGAGTAAAACCACATGAAATTGATGAACTTGATGATTAAAGCAATAAAATACATATAAGTTGTTTTTAAAGTTTTTAACTTACCATTGTACAATATATATATAATTTCCCATCAAGAAAATTACTATGGTACGACATCATCTCTATTCTAATCTGATTTCTACATGTGATGTATTTGTAGGAAGATTCGAAACTCAATAAGGCGTGTATTTGATTGTATAGAAAATTACAAAGTGAACAGTAAGTTTCAATACAAATTTAGAATTAGAAAGTATACAAAAATATTCATTAATCTACATGTTCGTAATGAAATGACAACCTTTGAAAATATCACTCTTTCATTTACACCACCATGAAGTCGACATTCAACTATACACGGCCCATAATCAATATCAGCATTTTATTTTCCTGTTCTATTCTCCGAAAAGGTTATATTGACCATATAACTGCTTATAACACAACCAGTAAATTAGAGTGTGACAATTTGATGACTAAGGTAAAATAATAGTGTGCCGAGATGGTAAATTCATGACAGAAAAAGGATACAAGATGGCAATAATATACTGTAGTCGAATCGGCTACGCTTTCTTTAACACTTGTAGACGAGTCTGTCGCTCCAGTACAGTAACGTTAGACTTAACCAAAATTGATACCAATTTTCAATGGTTTACCTTTACTTTTCGCTTACCACCTTGCGGTTTGCATATGTTTTATTTTAGCAAGAAATGATCAAGAGCTTCTTTCTTGTGTGTTGGTTAGACTATTAGTGCGCGTGTGTTTACTAATAGAATAATAAATATGAGATATCACTTTCCGAATCAAACAAGCTGTGTAGTCCTAAATTGATACCTTATGAAAAGGTGATAAGATATACAAAACAACTTTTTTTTTTCTGTCAAGTATCGTTATATGCAAGGTCTTTTCGACCTGTTTTGATAAGATTTACGATAAAGCCAACAGAGGGACAAAATTAGTTCCCATAGGTATGTCAATAGTCTGTTGGTAGATCTCACCACCAAACTGGACGAAGATATTGTCAACAGAAACTCGAACATTTTCATGATTTCGTCCTCCACATATTTCTTGTTTGATTTGAATGTATTTTTCACGAAAAACCCCCACTTTTTTACCGTCTTGAAAAGAAAGCTCTCGTAACATGAGAAAGAAGGCGTTCTTTCAGCTTAGAAGAAAGTATGGTGGAGTACAGATTGGAAAAAATCACTTGTCCTTGTAGACTAAACTTGCATTTCACAAGGGGATTTGGCTATATACTCTTTTCCCAGTGTTCCGTAAATAAGTAGGCCACAATCAGAGACATTGGGCGGCCCATGGCCGTGCCAAACCGTTGCTGAAAGACGATGTTGTTGTATAAGCACAAAGTCAAGTAAATCCATGATGTCTTGGAGATGGAACATACAGGGTTCTTTTGCCATGACCTGTTTTGCTATTGGCGGCTCCGAATACTACCAAGTGTTTTGCCAGTGTGTGGTTAAAAAAGACCCTATATCGCGTGAATTGATGTTTTTGAACAAGTACTGTGACCAAACTTTCTAGAAGGTCTTTTGAGGTTTTGATATGATGTTCTGATTTCCTCACGAGGAGACCTAGGATGTCTGCCATTGACCCAGAGACTCTGTAACCAATGGGCAGTCATGTGTTCACCTTTTCGTGGACCTTGGATAGAAAATATAATTGATATTTTATTATAACTATGCTATTGGATGTTTATATGTCATTAGTTGAAATGACAAAAAGACCCATACATTGTTCCCTATATATGTTTTGAATGATCAACATATAGATCTGTAAACTTGTTGCGAGAATAATTATATAACGCTCTTTTGCATGTAAATAATTCTACGTTATGCCAACACTAACTGATATAATCAATGTTCACAACAACATTACCCCTATTTACTGGCCAAGCTGAATGTAGAATCGTATTGCTAACAGTGAAACATTCTCGACTGATGTTTGAACGCAATGGCCGACCGTCATCTTGAAAATGGTCACTAATAATTTTGCAAAGTATTTCGATTTACTTTGGTTTCGTAACTACAGTTGGCCTCAATGTATAACGTTCCTGAATTTGTCAAAAACAAGTCGCTGGCGTTGAATTCTCACGTGAGATTTAAAATTACTAGATACCATGATGTTCAAACAATGTATAACTCAGACTTACTTCCGATATTTGAACACAAAATCAGTCAAACATATGTCCGATGGCCAAATTTTTTTTTTAAAGTAAAAATTGAACGGGAACTCATTAAACGTGCAAAGCTAAAAACAGAATAAACTTTCGTCTATTAAGAAAGGCTCCTAATATATTAAGGTGTAACCTTTATAACAACGAAACCAGAAATGCTAGGACATTCATGATGTAAAATGTAACGTGTTTTAACACCATGATATCGTGTTTAGCTCTTACTTATTATTGTCTTAGACAGTATCATTTCTTAACATGCGGATACTTTTCAACAAGGAGAGCAATTTTCTTGAAATTTTGAAAGTTATCAGTTAAAGCTTTAATTTGACACTTTTGAAAATAAAGATTGTAGACAGGGTTTAGACGATTACTATTTGATTCCAATTTAATGAGGAGCTTTCAGATTGTTTTTCGATTAAGGAAGCATGATTCGTAAACCTTACGTTCCTCCTTGTGTCAATGGTTGAAGATAGAAATGCTAATAAATGCCACTTTTGAAAATGTTTTTACAAGATAAAGTTTAGAGATTGGTTATTTGCAAGTTAAATGATATTCGTGCTATTTGCATGCCCGTTCAGTCTTTTCGTATTGATAAAATTGGGGGAAAATTAAAACCATTTTAGATACAAGCTTTGGGTTTTATATGCTTAAAATTGAACGGTTAACCTAGTTGATCTTTCTGAAAACATTGTAGATTATTCATTTTTGTAATTGGTAGAAATTAGAAGACAGCTTGATTTTATAATCAAATACATTTATCTTTTATTGACAGCAAGACGTGATAGTAGATGATCGGTATTGAATTTAGAAAGTTTCTACCATTGCATAATATCTCGTGTTTGGAGATGATGCGTGTTTTTATGATTGGTTAGGAGACAATGCTAATTGTCACATGTTGGCTTCTGGACGGCTATTGTCCAATTTTCTTGACAATGGTGCTTTTATTACGACCTCGGCCTCGTTCTGGCTGCTACAACAGTTTTTATATATCAGATCACGTGATACGGTCCTTCTTTTAACGGTTTACATGTCAATTTTACAATTCAGAAATGGAAATAAGTGCCATGCAGTTGGTATTCTATTAACATATATCAGGGTCATTATTCTTTGATGAAAAAGACCTCATCAGTTATTACATAACAACTGTTTATCTCTTTTAGAAAGTCAATCACTTATCTTCAATATCCAAGCACTATTTAAGAAAATAAAAACATGAATACATGTAGTATTGTCTTAACTAAAGCTGTTGACGTCGTTATTCGTGAAGTACATCTGTGTTTGTCTTTGAGTTGATGTTCATAGGTCATTATTCTACGTAATGGTTCTGAACATACTTGTTGTAGTTCATGTCCTGACCCACCAACTACCTGCGATTGGGATGCATTCGATTCACATGCACCGAACCCACACATCCTGTATGGAGCTCTGGTAGGGGGTCCAGGTCGCCATGACGACTACGTGGATGATCGGAAAGACTATGTTAAGAATGAAGTGGCATGTGATTATAACAGTGGATTTCAATCAGCATTAGCAGGTGCGCTACTGAAAATAACGAACTTTTTTTTATCTTTTTTTTTCATTGATTGCAATAAATAAGATAAGTAAAATTCAAATTTATTTTTGGCAAAACAATCTTCATGACATTTTACCTGATACATTGTGTATACTTCGTGCTGTCAGAATTATGTACAAAATGCCTCTAGCCAAATAAAACTTCCAGGAACCAAATCATATGGCTTTACCATTTAATATAGAAGTTCTATTTTGATATAATGCAATGCCCTCATACATTGTAAAATGTATTCCAAATGTCACCTATCTTTTACAATCCAACACTAATTAGGAGAGGGTTTCATCGCGTCTATCAAAGCTACATGCATTGATAGTGGTTATACAATCAACCGGATTGTCATATGCCGTCTTCAGTGTCGCTGCTTTGCCTCGTTCCAGCAGTGAAAAACGCTTTGGAGCTTATTTACTGAAGGAATGGCCGACGAAGAAAATAATAAAAAGGAATAAAACCATAAATTCACACTGATTTTCTTTCCGTTTTCAGGGTTAGTGCACTTCGCGCTCCAGCACGATCTGCCAGCGGCTCCGGTTCTCAGATGCAGTAGCCATAAAAGGAGCCGACATTGATAGGAAGACTGTCAGAGACAAGACATAAAGTATCGCCATTCCTGTCATCTCACAATTATTACAGCAGCTGAGGTCAGACAAAAATGTAAATTATCTGCTTAAATAAAGATGTAATTGGACTTGAGTGATATACTGCGTGGCAGTATTGGGCGAATATTTCGCTGGTGATTTCAAGTGTGGTTTAGCTGAATACTATTTTTTCACATTCTGCGTTGTTTTTGAATAATTTTATTCAGTAATATACAAGAATAATCATCCCTTTGAGCAATGCCTGGCTTTCTTTAAATACAATAAATCTTACTACATGTTACAGTTGTTGCTCCGCTATGTCCAACAACATTTCATATCAATCCTACTAACCAGGTATCTGGATGATGTTAATTTTGATGAATTGCTAGGTTTCCATAACAAACCTCCCAGACATGTAAGAGTTTCTGTACAAACATCCCAGACATGTAAGGTTTCCTGTACAAACCTCCTAGACATGTAAGATAACCTGTACAAACCTCCCAGACATGTAATATTTCCTGTACAACCTTCCAGACATGTAAGATATCCTGTACAAATCTATCAGACATGTAAGATTTCCTGCACAAACCTCCCAGATATGTAAGATTTCCTGTACAAACCTCCCGGACATTTAAGCTTTCCTGTACAAACCTCCCAGACATTTAAGATTTCCTGCACAAACCTCCCGGACAATTAAGATTTCCTGTGCAACCTCCCAGACATGTAAGATTTCCTGTACAAACCTCCCGGACATTTAAGATTTCCTGTACAAACCTCCCAGACATGTAATATTTCTTGAACAACCTCCCAGACATGTAAGATTTCCTGTACAAACCTCCCAGACATGTAAGATATACTGTACAACCTCCCAGACATGTAAGATTTCCTGTACAACCTCCCAGACATGTACGATTTCCTGCACAAACCTATCAGACATGTAATATTTCCTGTACAACCTCCCAGACATGTAAGATTTCCTGTACAACCTCCCAGACATGTAAGATTTCCTGTACAAACCTCCCGGACATTTAAGATTTCCTGTACAAACCTCCCAGACATGTAAGATTTCCTGTACAACCTCCCAGACATGTACGATTTCCTGCACAAACCTATCAGACATGTAATATTTCCTGTACAACCTCCCAGACATGTAAGATTTTCTGTACAAACCTCCCAGACATGTAAGATTTCCCGTACAAACCTCCCAGACATGTAAGATTTCCTGTACAAACTCCCAGACATGTAAGATTTCCTGTACAAACCTATCAGACATGTAAGATTCCATGTACAAACCTCCCAGACATGTAATATTTCCCGTACAAACCTCCTAGACATGTAAGATATCCTGTACAAACCTCCAAGACATGTAATATTTCCTGTACAACCTCCCAGACATGTAAGATATCCTGTACAAATCTATCAGACATGTAAGATTTCCTGCACAAACCTCCCAGATATGTAAGATTTCCTGTACAAACCTCCCGGACATGTAAGATTTCCTGTACAACCTCCCAGACATGTAAGATTTCCTGTACAACCTCCCAGACATGTAAGATTTTCTGTACAAACCTCCCAGACATGTAAGATTTCCCGTACAAACCTCCTAGACATGTAAGATATCCTCTATAAACCTCCAAGACATGTAATATTTCCTGTACAAACCTCCCAGACATGTAATATTTCCTGTACAACCTTCCAGACATGTAAGATATCCTGTACAAATCTATCAGACATGTAAGATTTCCTGCACAAACCTATCAGGCATGTAAGATATCCTGTACAAACCTCCCAGATATGTAAGATTTCCTGTACAAACCTCCCGGACATTTAAGCTTTCCTGTACAAACCTCCCAGACATTTAAGATTTCCTGCACAAACCTCCCGGACAATTAAGATTTCCTGCACAAACCTCCCAGACATGTAAAATTTCCTGTACAACCTCCCAGACATGTAATATTTCCTGTACAACCTCCCAGACATGTAAGTTTTCCCGTACAAACCTCCCAGACATGTAATATTTCCTGTACAACCTCCCAGACATGTAAGATTTCCTGTACAACCTCCCAGACATGTAAGATTTCCTGTACAACCTCCCAGACATGTAAGATTCCATGTAGAACCTCCCAGACATGTAAGATTTCCTGTACAACCTCCCAGACATGTAAGATTTCCTGTACAAACCTCCCAGACATGTAATATTTCCTGTACAAATCTCCCAGACATTTAAGATTTCTTGTACAAATCTCCAAGACATGTACGATTTCCTGCACAAACCTATCAAACATGTAAGATTCCATGTACAACCTCCCAGACATGTAAGATTTCCTGTACAACCTCCCAGACATGTAAGATTTCCTGCACAAACCTATCAGACATGTAAGATTCCATGTAGAACCTCCCAGACATGTAAGATTTCCTGTACAACCTCCCAGACATGTAAGATTCCATGTAGAACCTCCAAGACATGTAAGATTTCCTGCACAAACCTATCAGACATGTAAGATTCATGTAGAACCTGTACATGTAAACCTCCCAGACATGTAAGATTTCCTGTACAACCTCCCAGACATGTAAGATTCCATGTAGAACCTCCACAAACCTATCAGACATGTAAGATTTCCTGCACAAACCTATCAGACATGTAAGATTCCATGTAGAACCTCCCAGACATGTAAAATTTCATTAATTCGACATCTGAATAAGAAATATATTCTAACACAAAGTTAGAATTATGATAAACAAATAAGGTTATATCACAAATATAAGATTATCGTGATGTCACTTCCTTTCTTCATGAAAAGGTATTGTTTGAGACCGAATCGATTTTCAAAATATTTACAAATGATGGTCTAAAAACACAAACAAGTGGATCAGTATTAGCTATATGTCCAAAAATATTCATCAAACATTCATTGGCCTAGTATACACTAAACATATTACTGATGTGTACAAAAATGTCCCTTCTCATGTTTCTCTATCGATTATTATTTTTAATTCATCAACGTCACCAACAACAAATTTCAACTTAATTTTTAAATCTGCAATACACCAATGATGTAATGACCTGCCATTCCCTTCGTAGCACGTGTTGGTTGAATAGAAACTGTGTAAACTGTGATACCAGAGAGATCGCAAAAGTGGAAAGAATGCATTGTAAGGTAATCTCGTTGCTTTTAATATTTTCTTTGAATGTCGTAACCAGAAGGGCATTGTCCCTTAAATCAACGAACATTATACTCCATCGACTCCAATAAAGTTATCCGGGAAAGTGTTCTTGTTCCAAACCTAGCATCGGTGATATAACAAGATCAGAGGGCCGTACTAAAGAAGCACGGATCAATTTATATTTGATACAGATTTGGAATTAGATACAGAACGATTATTGAAACTGTATCATAAATCTGTCACGACCATCGAGGACTTATCATCAGAATAGATGTAAAAAAAACAAAAGAGAGAGAGAGAAAGTGGTGTGCCCCAAATCTCAAAATTTGATCAATTTCAGTTTCAATTATCTGAGGTATCGCATGAAGAAATAGATTAGTTCTCAACAAGATCATTGTCACGACCGTAGAACCACCTCCTATGTCAATCTGTATCTGTTGAAATTCTGTATTACGCCTATATTGCACGAAATTCATGATAATGGAAGCAGGCCGAAGACTATTTTCGCATCAACAGCTACATGTGAACTCCATACGTTAGGGATGAGGTGATGTTGTTTCCCGGAATGGAAAATTCTCAAAAGAGAAGTTGAAATCATCATGTATATCATACAACTTGGTGCCAAGCTGTCCATTAGGATTCATTGTCAGAAAAGATCGAGAAAAGTGGCTAATGTAGAGTCTGTGGTGTCCTTGATTTCCAATTCTAGTAGGTATAACTATGGATGTGGTCTTTAAATTCCTCGTTATTTAAAGACAAGACGACATTAATATATCTGAAAGTGAAATTGAATGATTTTGCAAGATCTTTCCGACCTATTTTGATCAGCTGTTTGATAAATCAGCTTCGAATGAAAACACAACAAGTAGCACAGTTAGTTGCCATAGATATATTAATAGTCTGTTCCAAGGTCTTACCACTTAACTTGACGAAAATGTTGTCAGCCAGAAATTCGACCATTTTCATGATTTCGTTCTGAATATTTTTTTTTTACACTCAGAAAATAGCAAATCAGCAGGTCTCACATAGTTACATAGCGACTCAGTTTATGCTTTTTCATGTTTTGTTAATATCGCTGTACATATTACATATTTTCTGAAAAATTGTTTCTTCCTTCTCCTTGCTTCCCCCATCTCTCTCTCACCTCTCTCTCTCTCTCTCCCTCCCCCCCTCTCTCTCTCTCTCTCTCTCTCTCTCTCTCTCTCTCTCTCTCTCTCTCTCTCTCTCTCTCTCTCTCTCTCTGTCACTCTTAGTTCTGTCTTTCCCTCTCTCCCCTCCTTCTTTCTCACTCCCTCTTAATCTTTCCTTTCCTGTCTCGCGTCTTTTCTCCTTTCTTTTTCCTCTATCCCTTTTCTCTCATCCCCTCTCTCTTATTCACTCTCCCTCTCTCACTCTCACTTCTCTCTATCTCCCCCCCCTTCTCTATCTCTCCCTCCCTCTCTCTCCCCTTCTCTCTCCTCTCTCTCCCCCTCCCTGTCTTTCCTTTTCCCTCTCTCTCTATCTCTCAATCACCCTCTCTCTGTTTATTTCTCTTAACTACACAAATCGAAGATCAAAGATAACACATTTGTTAACATAGTATGGACGTTATAAAAAAGAAATATATAAAAAAAGAAATGAATTATTTTGGTTCACTTTAAGATATATTTTAAATCACCAATTTATTGTTTTTGTGTAGAGAACGATGTCGCTGTCACCATGCTTGCTGAAATTCTTTTGGCTTCATTTTCATCACAGTGTGTTCCTTTTTTTTTTTTTAAATAGCATTGTGACTACGTAAACGATTATTCAAAGTGATTCGTCACGTTTGCTGTAATCATTTTTAC